TCCTACTTCCTGGAGCTTTAGGGCAAGGAGGGCCTTGATACACGTGTCATCTGGATTTAGCCTCATGGCTTTCCTCAAGGGGTCTAGAGAAATCACGCTCCCGTTGTTGTGGTCTTGGCGGTAGGCGATAATGGCATAGCCAGTGTTGAATTCGGGGTTTTCAGGCTCCACTTTCAGAGCCTTTTCAAAGCAGGCTTTGGCCCGGTCATAATTCTTCCTTCCACAGTTCAGCAATGCCCATCCTTCCTCACAGTCTATCTCAGGACACTCCATCCTAAAACGTGAGGAACCTTCAAACTTCTTGCAAGTGTGCTCTACCTTGTCCAGGTATGCCCCGGCGTCTGCCAACCTGCCCATGTGATAATACACCCAGGCACAGTTGCCCCAAGTCACCAGGCTCCTCTGGTCTGACTGCTTCACAGACTGTCTCTGGATTAAGCCTTCAGCTTGTTTCAAGCTCTGCAGGGCCTCGTCATTCTGGCCTTTCAGGTGTCTCACATACGCTAGGAGGTTGTGAAATCCCACGTCATTGTTGGTGTATTGGAACTCAATCACTTTCAGAACCTTGTTTTCTAAATCAGGTATTTCAATATCTTCAATTATCAGCTCCCATGTAAAGTGACATCTCAGCTGGACCAGCCTGTCTTTTATCAGATTTCCATCAGCTTCCTCACTGTAAAGAGACCAAATTACTGCTTATTTTTTGAAGAATTTTAGTAAACTGGAAATGAAGACAACATTTTAAATCATTACATATCTTTTCTGCCTGTATCTCTGCCTGTACAGTTTGCTGCCTCTTTGGGATCTACGGTCCTGTCTAGTAGCAGACAACATGTCAACATAAAAGCCCTGTGGAAACGTTAGCGTCTTGATGGTATCAGTAATAAACTAACTACAAGTTAAGCCTAAAAATTACATTGAGTCTAAAAGTCTTCTCAGAATCATTCTGCTATGATGGATACAGTCTGAGCACCACTTTCAGCTCTGACTCCCTTCTCCCTTCTGCTTCTTCCAACACTGTGTTACATCACTAATGGTCTCAGGAGAAATGTGGAGTGAGGACTCACAGCAGTGTGGACCCTTTGCTCACCTTTCCACATTCCTACCATGATGCATTTTGGATTTCTCTCTTGCCAGGAAGAGAACAAGAGTTAAAATAAAAGCCAGAATATTTTGGCTTAAAATGATGAGCTTTCTGACTGCTTAAACTGGTTAGAGAATGTGGCAGTGCATCCTGCTATCTGTGCCACTGGAAGTTTATTCGGCCAATCCCAAACACAATAGTAAAGCAACTAGTGGAATTTGCTTTGTGGAGTCAAAAGTAGTGAGATGGGTGAATGAAATGTGAGGCTAATGTAGGCCCCCTTGTTATAATTCAGGAATAAAGAAGTCAGGTGACCCGGAATCTCAGTGCAGAACAGGTACTCCAAATCTCAACAGTTATATTAATTGTTCCCAACTATCCAAAGGGAAAAGATAAAAATAAGGGCTCAGTGTGAACAAGTTCTCTTCCCAGGATTTCTCCTCCTGTGAAGTGGAGATGAAGCCCTATTCCTTCTATATGAACATGAGGGAAGAAAAAGAAATTTTTCTTTATTATTTGAAAAAAGCAGTCCTTATATCCTGCATAGTATTAGTACCTATTAGGCCCAAGAGTAACACTCAGAGGAGGCTCTCAGGGTCCTCAGGGTCTCACTATGTAGATCACACTTGTAGGGATTCTCCTGTTTACAGCCTCCCAATTGCTGGGACTACAGACATGCGTCACCATGCCCAGTCTCAATGGCCATCTCAGCATGCCCCAGGGGCAAATCCTGACCAATGTGCCCTGCCTAAGCAGAGGCTTTAGTCCGCTGAGCTATCAGGCTGGCCCACAGGAAAATTTTTCTTTAACCCTATGTATAGAATATATAGTAAAAAAAAAAAGTCTAAGATGTTTGACATTCAAACAGATAGTGAGGTTAAGCTCAACTGTGTATGTTGTAGGGTAATAATAATAAGCTTTTCTTCTGGAGGGTTAACAACCTAAGTTTTCAGACCAAAGATTACAGAAACGGAGGGCTGCAAGGACAGCCAACATTTTGGCCCTAGCCTTTCAAGGTCAGTGAAGATTCAGGACACAGGAGAACCTGCACTGTAACATCATGTAACTCAGTTGTGTCCCAAATTCTCTGATCAAGGAGATTATGGGGCCACACAGGAATGTGATCAATGATGTAGAGTGTGCCTAAGGAAAATCACATGAAGAAAAAGCATTTTCTCAGGCTTTCACAGAGAATAAATTGGTCAAGCAATGGCCGTGACTCATCCACATGGCTGACACTGACAAAGGATCTACAAATTGCGGCACAGGCTTTCAGGATAAATCCTGAGGGAACCTTACTGACCTTATCAGATACAAAAGTTACATTTCTTGTTATATAAGTCTTGCTTTATCTTGATCTTAACCATCCAGCAAAAAGGCACAAAAACATAGTGTAAAAAGTAAAGCTATATTTATATGCTGAACTGTAAGTCTCAAGTCAAGAACTGCTAACATTGCTAGTCCTACGGATAACCCACTAGTATTATGGACTGCTGGACTATATTGAAATATTTTGCTGAATTAATGCACCTATAATACTTAAATGACAATGCAATAGCCTTCTCTGACAAAACTAAAGAAAAAATGTGGACACAAATGAATGACCATTTTGTATCTGTATATTGAAAATAGTTAGGATAGATATACAGCTACTTTCTCTTAATTCAATGAATAGAAAGATTGGTTCCAATAGTGTTTGTGGACAAGATATCATGTCTGAATCTTGTACAGTGAATAATCACTAAGACAACAATATACAATGTATCAATTATTGAAACTGTCCTACTAATTGGTTTTGAAACTGTTTCACGGCTACTTGTTTCTCAATAAAATTATTAAAAAATAAATAAGGCATTGAGGAAGAAAAAATATATATAGTAAAAATTTTTTTACATAACTCTTCCCATCAAGATGTAAATCCATGTTTGCCCACAAGAAAATAGACTATGAAACATTGCCTTTTGATATGAAAGAAAAGAAAGAATTTTTGAAATGATGAATACTGCTTCTGAGACAGGCAGAGCATGCCCAGGTGACATGCCCTTGCTGTCACTTCTGTCCCAAGCCAAGAGCTCAGTCCAGTCCTCATTTTGCTCAAAGCACCTACTTCAAAAACTCACCAGGGTATTGCACTCCGGTTCTCCTGGAAGATGCTCTGCCTGTGCGTCCAAGTCATTTCGCCGAAGGATGATGCCTCAGACTCGAGTCTGTTCTGGCTTTCAAGCTGATTGTGAGGTGGATTACTGGGGTGAGGAGCTCCAAGTCTTTCCCTTTTATCACCAGTGGCAGCCCAGAAATATTACCCAAGGCCATCCTGGATATATTACCCAATGCCAACCTGGATATGTTACCCAACACCAGCCTGGAAAGATTACGCATGCATTTCTCTCTCTCTCTTTCTCTCTCTCTCTCTCTCTCTCTCTCTCTCTCTCTCTCTCTCTCTCTGTCAGGCTTAGGGAGATAAGATCAGAAGCAACTAAAATGACTATTGTGCCCATAAGTGGTCCCTGAAACATGTCAACACCCTTAAAGGAGAAGGAATCAGGAAGAGATTTTGACCCAAATGCCCTACTCCTGCTCACTGGATCCTGTGGTAGGGGGGAGACTCTACTTAGGGAACATCTTCCACACAGATCCCTCTTACTCTAGAGCTGCTAGAATATTGGGGGATGGACCTTCCATGCTCCTAAATATGCTGCCCAATCTCAGTCATCTCAAGGTTGTCCCAGCCAGCTCATATGTAAAATGAGTCCTGTAGAAATCATGAAATGATTCTTCTAGGTGTACATTCAAAGCATGGATAGGTAGAAAGTATATTGGAGTCCCATCTCTGGGAAGGCTATAGAATCTCAAAATTCCAAGTTGAATAACCTTGCAGGGTTGTTATGCCAACCTACTGCAAGGGACCTGCTGTTCTTTCTTACAGGTAGCAATTCATCAACATGTGTCATCTTTTACCTTTTGTGCTGGGCTCTGGGGGGACTATGAGATATAAAGTCATCACGGAGATGTCTTTCTAACAGGAGAACCTCAGTTCCTCCTGTTATCTGGGCAGCACACAGAGCCCTGCTGTCAGCAGTATATGTATTAGTATGTTAGCTATGTGATGACCCAATTCATCTATACATGTGGCAGATGGGGACTTCTTGTCACAAATTATGGTGACATCTCCCTGGATCCTTCTCCCTTAATGTCCATCAAAGGAGCTCACTCTCACCCTGTCCCTGTACCACTAGTACCAGACGTATTTTGATGTGGGCTTTATTTCATCTAAGATAGCCCAGAGCTTCCACAAGACAGCTCAGAGTGAGGTTGGGAGAGCTGGGTTTGGAAACACAAGTGCAGGGCACTGCAAAACTCGGCTACCAAGGCTGCAGGAGGGGGCCTTGGTCCGGTCAGCGCCACAGATAGCAGCACAGGTGATAACATTGCGGCCAACAGCTTGTCTTTCTCCTCAAGCCAGGCTCAGTATCCACTGAGGAATCAATGGATCCTTGTGAGGGACTACTTTTCCTGGTCTTTTCTCCTAATAAGTATAAGGTCAGCTAGGATCAGATAGTGGGTCAGAATACTTGGGGTTTGCTTTTGTTTTTCTTCTGTAATTTAGGGAAGGGTGTTCAGCTTCTCACTACTAGATCAGATTTGTAGTAGTTCTGCTAATTTCAGCCTCAAGAGCTGGAATTACAGGCGTGTGCCACCAGGCCCAGTCTCAATTGCAGTCTCAGCATGTCCTGGGGGCAGGGCCAGCACAGCGGACCTGGGGATCGAACCCCAGGCCCCTGCACCTGCTTGCAGGTGCTCTAATCTGCTGAGCTATTTGGCCAGCCCTTAAAACATTTCTGATTTTTTGGGGGAGTGTACCTGGGATTGAACTCAGTACCCTGCACTTGCCAGGCAAGCACTTATTCTACTGAGCTATATTCCCGGCCCCTCAGGTCAGAATACTTTGGAGCACAAATTATTTTCTGCAGTTCATCAGTCTAAAGAAAACCAGCAAAGAAAGGAATATGTTTTCTGGAAAAGCACATTGCAATCCCAGTAAGATTTCTAATTTTCTATTACCTATTTCAGTTTTTTTTCTTTTAACGTTAGTGCTAGTAAAAGAGACCATGTGGAGATTGCTGGGCCCACTTGGAGTTTCTGAGTCAGCGGTCTGCTGGGGTGGGTGGTTTTACATTTCCAGAAAATTCCTAGCTGATGCTGATGGGGAGGGATCATATCTTGAGAGCATTTAATTTATTATTATTATTGTTATTATTATTATTATTATTATTATTATTATTATTATTTGCAGAACTGGGGATTGAACTCAGGCCCTTGTGATGGCCCAGTAGTATTCCACTGAGCCATCTCCCTGGCCCAAGAGAGCATTTAATTTAGTGAAATGCAAATTTCTCAGCAATCACTAGTTGATAATTTCACAACAATTTTAATTTATAAA